ACACACACACACACACACACACACACACACACACACACACACACTATACATACACACTTTCTCTCAGATAAGATACTGTCCTAAGTGGATTGGGTGGAAAAGATTAGGGGTATACTTGAATAACCATTTTCAATAACCAGAACGATACTTTTCTTCATACATGGTTTTCATATCCTAAAGATAAACTAACTTTTCCATAGGTTGTAAGAGTGGATACTGTCATGCCTTAAGGAAATATTGATACAGGTCTTGTAAGTCAGGATTGGGTCCTTGTTCCCCCAGTATAGAAGATTAAATACCTGAGAAACACTGAGGCAAAAGTAGAAAGTAAATTTTATTTAAGAGACAGATCAGAGAGAGAGTGAAAGCGAGAGCAAGAACTAGAGACTTCTCTGGAGTAGAGCCTGGGTCCCACAGCTAGTACCTGTGGGACTGGGAGTGTCTTGCCTTTTTTTTTTTTTTTTGATATGCTAACAATTTTCTCTTTATTCTTTTTAAAAATTTATTCTATTATATTTATTCTAATTAGTTATATATGACAACAGAATGCAATTCAATTCGTATTACACAAATACAACACAATTTTTCATGTCTCTGGTTGAACACAAAGCAGAGTCACACCATTTGTGTTTTCATACATGTAGTTAGGGTAATAATGTCCATCTCATTCCACTGTCTTTCCTACCAGGATATGGTCCCCCTTTCTCTCCTTCCCCTTTGCCCTATCTAAAGTTCTATTTCTCCCATGCTCCCCATCTCCATCCCCACTATGAATCAACATCCTTATATCAGAGAAGACATTTGGCATTTACATAGACACAATGGAATAATACTCAGCATTAAAAGAGAATAAAATCATGGCATTTGCAGGTAAATGGCTGGAGTTGGAGAATATAATGCCAAGTGTCTTACATTTTTATAGACCCTCACTTCCTTTCTTTCAAGAAGGAAGGAAAGAGTAGCCCCAGGGGGTAATCCCTTTTGTTGGAAAGTGTGATCCTTCCTTTCTCCCAGAGGTATGAGCAACCAGTTGAAGGGAGAGGGCTGTCTCCCATTTCCTTTTCCTTTTCTTTGATAATCAGCTACTGGTCCCTTGCCCCTGTCTCAATATGATACACCATTAAATTTTTATTTCCATCAAGTGGAACAAGCATGGTCTCCATAAATAACTTTAAAAGCTATATTGAGAATTATTTTAAAATATTTCTGATTCCATCAGTGAACTCTTAAAATCAAAAGGAAGACTTATGAGGTAAACAGAGTATTGAAGCTGGGCAATTACTAAATGTATCACATGTTTAGCACCAATTTTCCATTCCTCTCAGATATGAGCAAAGAAGACAATGTCCAGGGCCTTAAAGGGAATCTAATAATATTACCACTCCTCCTAAAAGATTAAACATGAAAGCCTTTACCCTTAATTTCTGGGATCTAGTCATGGCAGGTTGTGCAAGGAAAATTGTCTGCACTGAACATAGATAAGTGAAAGGACAAAAGAACTCTTGCCTGAAAATGTTTAGAGACATGTGAGCCATCACCTAAGTTTGTCATGTACATTTGTACACTACATGACTCAAAACCATAACCAACCCTCAAGTCAAGAACTGTGTGTGATAGGATTCTGGGCTGGTAGTTAGCAGTTGAGGAATCTGGCTGCAAACCAAAGTGAAAGTGTGCTTTCTCAGGTTCATCCACAGGCAGGGACAAGTCTGCTGGGAAGGCCTCATGGGAGGACGCTGCCTCCCCACATAGATTGGGTGTATAGCTCCTGCACTGCTGTTTTGAGGAGGGAGTTTCTGTAAAGGACTATTCACTCCCTCAAACCCCTACTTCCCCACCAGTCCTGCTAAAAAACATACCTGCATTCTTGGCCTAAGCATCTCCATTTAGAGCCCTTCTTATTAAAGATGGTGGCAGAGGCTCCTTTTTTTCCATTTGACTTTGACTTTTTTGTTCTTAGCCTTTTCCCCTTTTTGTCCCCCTCTTTAAAATGGTAGAACCTTCTACAACTTATTACTTATGACTAGTATATCTTCAATATCAAAAACTGATAAGAACTGTTCCCGGGACAGTGGGGTTTTGTGCTGTGTGCCAGAAGAATCAGGCAGAGGAACAGCATAACAGGAACCAAGCTCCTCCTTGGAGGATTCAGCTTGTCCAGAAGAGAAACAGCACTGACCAGGGGTCAGGCCTGCTCAGGGTACAAAG